CCGCCAGGCGGACGTTCAGCCTGTGATCAAAGACATTCTTGAGGTCAATCCCTGTACGTACTAGGTTGGCTACGATCGTGTCTTCATCGCCGTAGGCCGCCACCGTGTCGCCGTCGACGTAAGACCCAAGGGAGACCTCAGGGTGCCTCTGAGACCACATGTCAAACTCAAACATCGCGTGAACCTTGACAAAAACGTCGTTGAAGATATCCCCAGCTGGAAGCCCAGACTCCGCAAAAAGAACCAGAGGTGAGTGATTAGCCCCCAGTCTCAGGATCCGTGGAGACCTCCAGAGGTTATAAAGAGTCTTGACGAGCACCATGGGGATCCTCCAGAAGATAGCCCTATCTCGGAGCCAAACCAGGATAAAGGACTCATAGTACTTCATGCCATCCCAAATGAAGCCTGCAGTGGCCTTACCGCTCGAAGAAGCCTGCTCCGAGAGGACACTCTGGTTCCAGATGGCCGCCTCCGAGTTTTGCCCCGAACCGAAGGACCAGTAGGGCCGGTGGGCCCGCTCCAGGAAGTCGTCGCACTGGCGCCGACGTAGGCGTTCCCAGACACGGACGGGGGACCCCAAGAACAGCATGGGCCGTAGTCCTCCATTCGGCTTCTCCAAGAGAGGCGTCAGCATCCACAGCAGCTGTGCTGGGAACAAACCTAGGCGTTCGATCGCCTCGTAGAGCATCGCAAGGACCTCCAACCCAAGGTCACTCAAGCAGGCGAAGTGCCTGGGGTGGTAGCCGTCCAGCGACTGCGAGGTGCGGCGGCTAAAAGAGCGCGATGCTGCTCGTATCTCCGACGGGCTCGCGCGAGGGAAACAATCTCGATTCGGTATCCAGGCCGAAGGAGGAGAGGTCCTAGCATTCCAGAACTCGCCTAACTTGATGGTCTCGGCGGCCAGGAGGTTCTGAGGGTCTGCGGTGAAGATCCCTGGGGAGCGCTCGACAATCGTGGGCTGCCACTTCCTCTGGACCTTCGTGAACCTATGCATGAGCCTCGCGGATCCCGCTAACGACTTAGCTTGCCAAGAGCCCCAAGATTCGCGTGAAGCCTTCTCGCCATCGCTGATGGCCTCATCATAGTCGGCCTGGATATCCTCCAAAAACTGGTTGGCTCGATCGCGCCACGACTGCTCAGCAGGACGGCCTGCACTCCAGGCTAGTGCGATCTCGCGCACGGCGCGCAAGGTGGCATCCAGCCGCGGGCTCAAACCTTCGCCTGGGCAGGAGTGTTGCAATGCCACCTGTATGCGCTGGCAGGCACGCAGGTCGCAATCCTCGGAGGCGACCGAGTTAAACAGCTCAGTGAAAGCCTGGAAAACCCATTTCCAACCTGCGATGACCTGGAGCGCATCATCTGGGTTCTTCGGGCGATAAAACACAGAAGCCCAAGCAGCCTTGATCGTTCGACTCCTCTCTCCAAGCTCCTTCGCCTCCGTGCCTAGCACTCGATGCAGCTCCAGTTCGGCGCAGTCAACAAAATGGCCCCAGGCATTCGATAGGACCGCCCATGCCTCCGTCGCAGCAGCGCGCATACTGGTGGCAATCGCGTGCGACGCATGCATCAAGGCACCGCTCCACCCCACCGGCGACGGTGACGGTCCAAAAGGAGGGTCGAGAGGCAGGCGCTGGTGAGTGCGATAAACAAGTTGCTTCAAACGTATCGAATTTCCTCGGAACTCAACTCGGACAGGGCGATGTGGTTTTATTTCCCAAGACGTGTCCGCCGAGACCCGAGAAACCAGACGAGCGATCCCAGGGCCCATCACGAAATAGTCGATCACGCTGTTCGACGCCGAATATCAACAAGTAAAAGCCGAAGGTGAAAGTATAACCATGCCAAGTTTGCGGGGAAATCCAGAAGCTTCCAGAACCTCTGGACTCAGATTCCAATCGCCGCCCAAAATCGTATGCGTCGGGTCCGTGGTCGACTGACCTATCGACTTCAGCATCCCCAGGTTGGCCTCACTGAGGCCCTCCGCAGATCTCATGTAGACCGAATATAACGACACAACTGGACACCCAGGGAACTCAATCAAAACCTTGACGACGCGGTGGGCACATATGCACCCATTACCGTCAGCAGGCCAACGAAGTCCCACTGCAAGTCGAGCAAAAACAGCAACTCCCGACGACAGCTTCCCAGACTCAACATTGATACGAGCAGGAAGAAAGAGAGCGTGCCAGCCCAACGAACGGGCTGCGGTAGTGGCCTGGCCGACGAACTCCTCACTGATGCCAGCCTCTTGGGCACACAGCACGATTGCGTCAGCCAAGCGTCGGCGAAGCGTGCGCCAGCAGGAGCCATTGAAGGTCTCCAAAAAATACTTGCCAAAGTCACTGTCATGCTGAGGCCTGGCTGGCGCCCCCTTCAGAGGGGGAACTGGAACTCCTGTGGCAGACAGTGGAATCCCCGAGAGCAAAGGTACAGCTAATCCCAGCATAGTGTTACCCACACTTCTGCTTCTTAGCTTTGACCCCATCTCTCGAAGAAGATTAGAAAAAAACTTCGGCGTGATCGTCCCCTTCTTTCCGAGCAACCGAAAGAAATTGTTGTATTGGTTCCCCCTCCAGCTCCTCCAAATCCATATCTTCTGGGACTGGGATCTCCTGATGAGGAACCTCCGATCCTGGGGCAGGAGGGGAGGGTGGGGCAGCAGCAGCAGGTGATGCAGCCCCCGTAGCCTCCTGCTGAGCCTTGAACTGGGGCCGCAGCAGCTCCTGGAACTGAACGAAAATCGGCGAGGCGACCATCTGCTGCACCTCGGCTGGGGCCGCAGCGAGGACCTCGGGGGAGAGCTCAAGAGTGGGCGAAATGGGCGGGTCCTGCGAAGGCGCCACCTCCTGCACCATGCTGCGCAGCTCCACCTGGTATGCGGCGATCTCGACCTGCACCGCCCTGATCTTCTCACGTTGCTGTTGTAGAAGCTCCTGAGCCTCTTTGACGGACTTCTCCTGCTCAACCATTTCATCCTGCATCTTGGCCAACTTCTGCTGTGAACGCGCCAGCTTGTGACCAAGAGTGTTGTGCCTGGTGACGGCTGGCTTGCACTCCGAGATCGATTTGCGCAAGGCCTGCAGCTCAGTCTCCATCTGCAGCTGCATCGGGGAGCTGCCGAGGGCCGAGCACTTCTTGAGCGCGCCGAGGGCCTCCTCGAGGGCGTCCGCCTTGGCGCGCACGGCTGCGAGCTCGGCGTCGCCATCGGCGGCATCATCGCCAGCGCCGTCGGCCGCAGCGGGCTTACGACTGCCAGGCACTCCGCCTGCTGCGCCACGGGGGCCTCCACCGCCATGAACGGTGAGGGTTGCCACCTGCTTGGTGAGAGCCTCCAGCTGCTTCTCCATCTTCGACTGGGACGGAGGAGGTCCACCAGCCCAGGCACCACGAGGCCGAGCGCCACCATCACGAGGAGCAGGCACGGGCCCCTGCGACTTGGCCTTGGCTGCTGTCTTGGCGCGCTGCACGATCGACTGAGGCGCGGGCTTGCCGCAGACGCAGCGGATGCGAGACGCCCAGTTCAGGTTGCGCCCGCAGTCTGGGCATCCCCAAGTCGGGAATCGCGGACCAGCGAGCACGTCGTCGACATCACGTCCCATGGGAGGGCGCCCCTCCGAGACGCAAGAGGTGCTCCCACAGGAGCTCACGGAAAGCGTGAGGGTTGAGATCCCTCGAACTGAATGATAACGAGCCGCAATGACACGCGAGAGCGACTGCCGCTCTGAAGACTGCTCTCGCAAGCCCAGAAAAACTCTGGGCCAGAACGGCTAGGAGGGAGGAGGAGGAGGAGGAGGAGGAGGAGGAGGAGGAGGAGGAGGAGGAGGAGGAGGAGGATAGGGGAGGAGAGGCGCGTGATGAGGAGGCTGCGGTCTCGGACGGGGGGCGATGGGCGGGGCGGGAAGAGGGCCACGAGGAGGGGATGCAGAGGGGGGGGGGGGGGGCAGAGGAAGAGGAGGAAGGGAGGCAGAGACGGAGGAGGAGGAGCAAGGAGGAGGAGCGAGGAGGAGGGAGGCAAAGACGGAGGGGGGGGGGGGGGAGAACACGGGGCCTCCTCCCGCCACGCGGGGCGGCGCGGCGCGGCGCGGCGGGCGCCGTCCCAAAGAAGCCCCCTCGCGAAGACGACGCTGACGACGAGGGCGGCGACCGCCTCAGGACCGACTCCCAGACCTGCCACACAGCGCTTCCCGGCGAAGATCTCGAGGCGAACCCGGCCGTGCTCGTCCCGATGATCATCGGACAAAGGCCGCCCTCGCGGGAGGCTTCTGGTGGCCTCCGGAGGCGTCACCAAGAGAAAAAACGAGAGACGCGTCCAGAAACCTCGACCACCAGATCTTCTGCGCACAAGCGCATGCAAAACCAGGACGGCGACGGCCTCAAACACGACCACTGGTCCTGTCCCTGGATCGCGCCCCGACCAGGGTCTCGAGGCAAATCCAGCCGTCTCGTCGAAGACCGCCCGCCAGAACGCCCAACAAGGAAAACAAAATGTATAGATCCAGCAAGAAACAATCAACGAACAGGCGACGCCGACGAGGACGACGACGACGACCACCACCACCACCACCACCACCACCACTTCCAAAGGCCTCTCGGGGTCCCCGTAGACAACCCCCGCGGGAGCTTCTGGAGGAGTCCTGGAAGCGAAGGACCAACGACATTCATTGGCGGCGAGCGCGGTGGGGAAGTGAGAAGGAGAAGGCCTTTTCAGGAGGCTCGGAAGTCCCCCAGCCTTCTGAGAAGTTTTCTAAGCATTCCCCGAAGACACAGAACACTCCTCAGAAAGTGCGAGGGCTTCTGAGACGTCCGACCGCCTTATCAGAAGGCCTTCTCCTTTTCATTTCCCCCCCTCGCTCGCCGTCGAACTCAAAAAACGAGCAAGACCTTCCGTCCAAACGATCGTCCAAGACGACGACGTTGACATCGCCTGACGGTTACGACGACGACGACGACGACGACGACGACGACGACGACGACGACGACGACGACGGCGGTTGCGGCGCCTGAGCACAGCAGCGTCCGCGCGTCGATGGCGTCGAAGGCGAGGCGGCGACTTGCCGCGGCAACCGCCTCGGCCCGCCCGGTGCAACAGGCCGTCACCGCCGTCGCCGCCGCCGCCGTCGCCGCCGCCGACCATCTCCCCATCTCCTTCCCCTTCCGCGCAGCAGCTAATGCTTAAGCGCATGCAAAGGGCTACTGGGCCTTCCCTCAAATCTGACAGTTCCTCGAGAAAGGCAATCTCGCGAAAATCGCGACTGGAGCCCTACACCACGTTTTTTGTTGCAGCTACTTTTCTCGCTGGATCGATCTGTCGTGGTCTCCTGGGGTCGAAAACCTGCGAAAACGCCTGCAATGCCCGTATCTCAGAGTCTCCCCTCCCATACCCCCGACGTCATGATTTTCTCCTGACGTCGACCCGCAGGAGTCTCGACCTCTTCCCCGGGACCGGTTTCTCATCCTGAGTCGTTTTTGGACGGCCCCGAGGCCCAGCGAGGGCCCAAAAGGCTGAACACAGCGAAAAGCCTCCCGTCCTGTTTTTCATGGCGCGCGGTGGTCTGGGCTTCCTGGTTTCCCCTCCTCTTCCGCTGCCTCCTGGCCCAGCACGGCGGCCTGGCGTGGCCCCCGGGGGGGGGGGCGGGGGCGTGGTTATGGCGAGGCGCCCGCCCGCCCCAAAGCCCCGCGCCAGGCTGCGTTTTCACCTGCTGCTCTGCCGGATGCCGCCTGGACGCCCTCTGGACGCCCTCCTCCTCCTGCTCCTCCTCCTCCTCCTCCTCCGCCTCCTCCTCCTCCCCTGGGAGGGCCACGTCCACGTCGTCGTCGGTGTCGTCGTCCTCGGCGTCGGCTCCGCTTCCAGCGTTGTCCCAATGGGCGTAGCTGTAGGTCGGGCTTGTCCTCCCACAGGCGGATTTGGGACGAAGAACGAAAAATGAGCCGAAAAATAGCCAAAAGTATTCAAACAGTCGTCCCCAGACTATCTTTAAAACTGTTTTTGAATATTCCTCCTGTAGAGGGACAAGCCCGACTTAAGCAGATGTAACTTCTGGCCATGGAGAGACACGCGTTCGCAGCGCCCGCGTCCGATCAACCAGACAGACCTTCTTTGCCGCTCCCCTCGCTCACTCTCTCGGTCGATGGCTTGGCGGCTTCTGCTGCTCTTCAGCTCATGACGGATCTTGGTCGACTTGTTCAACCTTGTCTGGTGAAGTATAGGCTTCCTGGATGTAGATTGATATGTGTAGGTTCACGCAGAAGTGCTCCTTCTGTGGCTCTATGGCTCTACCCCCGCAAACGGAGTGGAGAAAGGTCACCAGGCCCTCGTGGACATCCCCTCCCCCTCCTGCCTCCATCGAGGACTGCGCTTCAGACGACGCAGGAGAACGATCAGGAAACCCGACGACCCGACTTTGGCGAATCGTCGGCCCCTGAAACTCTCGACCCCTCCCTGGCCCTCCTCCTCCTCCTCCTCCTCCTCCTCCTCCTCTCCTCCTCCTCCTCCTCCTCCTCCTCCTCCTCCTCCTCCTCCTCCTCCTGACTCGTCCTGAGTCGCCCTTGATGGCCCAAGGACCCAGAAAAAAAAACGGCCCCTGGACGCCAACGGAACCCGCTGGCGCGCCTGCCCCCGAAGTGCCACCCAGGCCCGAGCTATCTGGAGGTTCCTGGCCGCCCCGCTGCTCCGGAGGCACCCGGAGGCCCGCGCTGGGAGGCCGAGGACGGAGATTCGACGGAGACGTCGACGGCGCTGCTGCTGGCGTCGGCGACGGCGATTGGCAGCGCGCACTGGGGCGTGGGGCGAGGAGGGGCAGCACTCGAAGGAGGCAGGGGGGCCTCTGCGAAGAAGGCAGGGGGCCTCTGAGAAGGCTGGAGGGCGGTCCATTTTCTCATATATGCCAAACAAGAACCACACATTAAAAAACGCCTTTCGGGAGGCCGCTCTCCTTGCGCCCCCCCGTGCGCGCGCTTCCGAGACGACGGCGGCGACGAACAAGGCCCGGAAGACGAGGAGGAGGAAGAGGAGGAAGAGGAGGAGAGGAGGAAGAGGAGGAGGAAGAGGAGGAGGAAGAGGAGGAAGAGGAGGAAGAAGAGGAAGAGGAGGAGGAAGAGAATTTGGAGTCCCGAAACGGTGCGGTGACAGTGCACATCGCTCCCGAGCCCAGGGCGGGCCTGGCTGGGGGCGGTGGACGCGGAAGGCGACGAGAAGCGGGTCTTCTGCGCGCGACGGCGTGGCTGAAGGGGCCCTGGGACTTATGATCTCGTGGGCCGCTTTCGTCTCGACTTCGTTTCGCGGTAGAGCTGGATTGAAGACAAAACGAGGGAAACCGAAAAAAAAGTAAACGAAACACACCGTTTCGGTTTATGATGCTCCCATCCTACCTAAGGACCACATCCCAGAAACAATTTCGAGCACCCGGGAAAGTGTCGAAAGAGTGTCGAAGGAGTGTCGAAACAGTGTCGGACGAGTGCCTTCCAGGGCCCGACACGTGAAAACCCTCGAGATTTTAGGTGCTGTTCTGGCGCTCGAAATTCTTTCTGGTGGCCAAGGCTAAAGTAGGTTGGAACATCATAACCTGGGACACACAAATAAAGACACACACAAATAACAATAATCCCGACGTTTTCCTATATGTTCTGGGTTTGTGTCTTCCCCCCAACTTCAGATATTCCCATATGTTTCGGGGAATCGACGAATAATTGTGTCTGTGTGTTTCTTTTTCTCCTGAAAGGCGACCTCATTCCGCGGCGAGCGCGGGACCGCGGCAAACCGCGCGGAGAAAATGCGGGGAGACGTGAGCATCGGGTGCGGGGTGCTCGGGTTGGCCTGACGGGGCGGGCCATCATAAAGATGACGAGACCCAACCTGAAATTTCACGGGAGCTCCCGCTGCAGACATCCCACGACAACTGGGCCGTCAACATCCAGAACGCGCTCGTCAACAGAACGCCAGCAAACCCGAGTTCCGGCCTACTCGAGTCTTCCGCTTCCCCGTGTGGCAGCAGGAGAGGGGACATAATGTTTTCCCTTGAGCCAAACGTGGCACGGACACGTACAAGATGGATCTCTGTCCATCGGTCCCCAGAGTGAAACACCAAAAACTAAACCTATACGTGAGATTATGGACCCCTGGAACATGGGTCCAACTTTCTCTAGGTTTAGCTGTCCCAAAACTCAATTCGCCGGTCCGTGGCCACTGCCTGGCAGTGTCAAAACGACCTGCAAATGTCAAACTTGCGCAGCAGCAGAAAGAGAGAGAGAGAGAGAGGCAGAACTAGAGAGCAGATTATTGGAAAACGGATTCGGAGGATGATAACGGCTGAGGAAGAGAGGAGGAGGACGGGAGGACACCACCACCACCAACCAGGCCAGGAGGAGCTCTCTGGTCCAGGTAGTCGAGCCATGCTATGCAGTCGGGCTCTGACAGCATTCTTCTGGAGGCTGCCTGAGAGCGGTCTTTGCGCTCGGGCATGTCCTTCCGGCGGCCGACCTCTTGGGCCTCGTCCACCAGACTGAGCTTGCCGTTGGTCATCAAATCAAACAGCGCGGCATTACACTTAGTCACGTCGTCCTTAGTCAAAGCGTCTACCGGCATACGACCATGGGGTATCCATCGTATCTTACCTTTGGCTCGCTCCAAGGACTCGCAGATGATGGCGAGGTCTAGAGCTGTGCGCCTATCACGGGCTGAGGCGTTGCCTTCCTTCTGGAAGGTATCATAGATTGACTTAGCGTCCACCACGTGGACCTGTTGTTCCCGGGAACCCAAGCTACAATCGCGTCTTAAGACCGTAGTAAAGGGCCCTGAGGCCCGCACACAATCAGGCAGATCAACATCTTTGAACACAACATCACGGTACAACACTTGAAGAAACTCGACTTCCGCCACAGCGGCCGAGAGAGCTTGAGTCTCTCCGGCCAACGTCGAAGGCACCTTACGCCGTAGCTTACTGCTACGCCAACCAAGCACGGACGCTCTTACCACCTGATTATCGAGAACGGACTTGTCGGCAGCCAACACCATCCAAGCTCCCTGGGTGGGGTCGGCTGGGAGGCCATGGTCATCCTGGAGAGACTCTACCGAACCAACCCCGCCGGCATCGGAAAACGATATGAAAGACATACGCTCAGGGTCTAGCTGCCAGATCGTCAGTCCACGAGAGGCGGTTGCCCTCAGGTGCTTCACCAACTTGTTGGCGCAAGACACGTCCGACACCGTCGGAGCTCGCAAACGACTAGCCAAAATACTTGCTACTCCGGCCGCTTCCGGCCGTGACTCTCGGCCGACCCAATTAAACTTGTAGACCAGAGAACGCAAAGCTTTAAACTCGGACGGCTCAAGAGGAGAATTCTTGACAGACAAGCGGCCCCGGGCCAGGGTCAGAGGACGGATTTCTTCCAGGATGTACTTTTCCTGGTCAACAACGGCCTTGCCAGGAGAGAAGGAAACACGCCTACCAGCAAAATCCACCGGGCCGGCATGACAGTCTCGATACTTCCCGAAACGGAAGCGGTCCTCTAGGATACCGCGAATCCACGCTCGGGCATCCGCATCCGCACTCCCGATAAAGAAATCGTCGACTTCCAGCAACATCATGTTCTGAATGGCTCCATCTGCTCGATACTTCAGCCACCAGCAGGGCTCCAGCAAACTTCTTTCGAACCCGTGCTTTTCCAGATGGCCAGCCACAGTGCGACGCCACGCTACCGGAGCATCGTCCAGCCCGTAAACGTTCACCAGCAAAAGGATAAGGGATCCAGGCTCAACGTCGATACCCTCGCAAGGTTCAACATATATTTGGCCCTGGGACCGCGTCATCGGATCTGACTGGGTGAAAGCGTTCTTGACATCCGCGATGTCTCCGAGCATCCTGAAATTGACCAGTACCTGAATGAACATCATAATAGACGAGGTCTGGGGGGTGGGCGCATATACGGCAAGGGAGCCAGAGTCGGGATCCTTATGACCGTGCACGCACCACCTGGACTTCGCTTCTGGTTCCACGAAAGTCCCCTCAACTGGCTTCCATCGGCGCACCATTCGGCTGGATATGATCCTGTCCGGACAACGTTGCCGTATC